TTCTAGACCAAATGGGTGTTCGATGTGCAGTAAAGGCTAGATCCATAGGCCGACGTTTCAGGATCTTTGGTACGATGATGCTTGATAGCATGTTTAGGAACCTGCTCCCAGCACAGGTTTGTGATCCCTTAGCTAGACGTCGTGCTTACATATCTATGTGCTGCATAGCTACAGCTGTCAAACTGGCTGAAGGAACCAGCATGCTGCATAATGCTTAAACCAGCTGGCCAGAAATGTCACATTTGTATGTAAAGCTCTGAACCTTCCTTATTGCTCAGTTACAAGGTTCTATTCTCTTGCCCAGAGGTGGTGGACGTGCCTTGTCTACCTGCTAAAGAGAAGATCCACAAAATGCTTTGAGCATGTGCACTGATACAATCTGCTCAGGAGAGTCATGCACAGACTGCTGAGCTGGAGATACGGAATTAGATTCTGGCATGAAGCTCTTGACAGTTTTCTCGAAGTTGAAGACCTGGAAGTTCTGAGTATGGGCTGAGGCAGATCTGAAACTTAGTGTCAGACAAAGGCAATTATACATCTTTCCCATGGAGAAGAATTTGTATTACAAGAAGGCATAGTGCAAGTACGTATGTGAGAAGGTCAAAAGAATTAGTGGGCCATTTTTCTGAGCCTCATTTGTCTCGCACATGTCTCACATACAAAACACGGCAGTAATGCTACTCAATTTATAGGTTGCACTAGCAAGGAGGAGCATGGTCACACAGCTTTCTGTGTGGATTTGTTCAGTGTGCCAACAGTTCTCTCTTTCCTAAGAACTCTGTAAACCATACCACCAGTCCTCCTCTTGGCAGTGGTGGGAACTGGACAGCAACACTGTAGTTGATGTCTTGATAAATGTTGCAGATTCCTGATTTTAATATTTTTAATTAGTTAGTTACTTCATCTCTAAAACAGATGCTTCTGAATGTCAGTTAATTCACCCTGCTGAAACAGACACTGTAAATAAAAAACCACCAACTTTCTTTTTTAATTTTGAAATACAGTAGCCTTACCTTGATTAGGACTTTTTTTCTGACTACATTTCATTCCACATAATTTGATGAAGCCGGATATTGACTATTCTATAATGAGGAAAATAAGGGAGAGTTTTCGGGTGGTCTTGGAACACAGATTTAACCAACTTTGTTGCACTAGTCTTCCAAAATCTTGTATTAAAGAGTTATTTTTGCTTGTATAGTATGCCTTTGGTAGCACCTGTGCTAGTTTTAATTTTTTTTAAAAAAAGTTTTTTATTTAATTGGACATGATTGTAAAGATTGTATATGTAATTTGGGTTCACTGAATTGGTTTGATGTGTTTGATTATTTATATTAAAGTGTGCCTTTTTTAATGTTACCCTTTTTTAATACAGTCTCATTCTACTGACTTCGTAAATCTTTTACTACTCATTCTTTCCTACAGTGAAATAAAATATCTGTAGGGATAAGACATAAATACTGAAATTCTTATCTATTGTACATGCTCTCTTAGGTCACTAGTGTATCATTGTATTTCAATGCTGGCTTGTTGATTTGTTTTCATATTGCTCTCAGCTTGGATGCATGGGGGGAAAATAAGAAGGCTTCATCTTTTCTGTTGGCATATATGATTGTATAGTATCTGGCTTGCAGATGCTGCAAAGTAGCTTCTAAAACCAAGTGATTAACAAAACAAACCAACACGAGGAGAGCTTTGAATCTTTCTGCTGCTTTTCCTTGGATGAAAACTGCAGGGTAGAGGTTAATACTGACGTCATAAATTTAATACTTTTTCTTGTTAAAAGCTTTATTTTCTAATTGATAGCTTTATGAAAACAGTAGTTATCTTAAGGTTGGATAGTCTTAAAGAAGTGAGAGACTTGCATATTGGCATTGTAATCCTTAATAAGTGACTGGAAACTATTGATTTTAGAAAGTTTTTCTTTTGCCTTTAGATAGGTGAAAGTGGAGATCCCAAAGCCTTTCTAATAGAAGTTTCTTGGCCAGAAACATATCCACAGACAGCACCAGTCATATCAATGGATGCTTTCTTCAACAACACAATGTAAGTATTTGTGACACCTTTACTTCCTAGACTTATAGGTGGGGGCTTTTTGGTTGACAAGATGTTCTTCATCTGTCTAGATTATAGTTGAGTTTTATGGTTTCTTTTAGATCTTCAGCTATTAAACAAAGTATATTGGATAAGTTAATGGTGGAAGTTGAAGCAAATCTTGGAACTGCTATGACATACACACTTTTTGAATATGCCAAAGATAATAAAGAGTTGTTCATGGCAAATCAGCCTGTTAACACTGTGGTAAGTAGATAAATTCAGATTTTAATCTCTTGCCTTTAAAGTGGTTTTTACAACTCTAAATACTTCTTTACGTCTTTAAGTTGTTAATTAGTATATTGAATGTACACTTGTCAGTGGTTAAACAGTGTCACAATGCTCTGTGGTCTGTGATTATTATACTTAATTGTTAATTTGCTGTTACTCCAAAATGTTAGTGAGCCTCAGTTCTGTTCCACAGAGTAACATAAAAATGGAGACTTGGAGCAGAATCAAAACTGAAGAGAGCTGAAATGGAGATTAAAGGTGTCTGCTGGCAGCAGGGGGAGGGGCAAATTGCTGCAACCTTCCTAGGATGCATTAGATTGCATAAGTGCACCTCCAGGGTCTCGAATGAGTCAGGCTGGGTCTATTTGTGGCTTCTGTGTTGTATAAGGACATTACTGGCCATTGTGGTTATTTGCTTTGAGGAAGAAGGAACAGTTTCCATGTTTGGGAAGTCCGAATCCCTTCAGACTAAATCACACTCCATGATTAAATTTAAAAAGTGTAAGAGGCGCCCTTTGCAACTCTGAAAGGGATTAATTCCAGTCCCCAACGTGTGTTTTTTAAAACTACAGTCGTGATTATATGCTGGTGAAAAGCTGCAGACTGCTGACAGCATTGCTTCTTTCTGACAGTTGAGATATTTCAGTATGTCAGGTTCAGTAATCACACACAGAGGTGTCTGTGGAACTAATATGCAAAATATTAACAAGAATTTTTATCCTTTTCAGACTTCAGTAAGCAATAGTATTGCAATTGGAACTCCTAATGTGCCAGCAAGTAAGAAAAAAGATAAAAAGGAGCAGTTGTCCAAAACCCAGAAACGAAAACTAGCCAATAAAACAGGTTTGTTCACTATAATACTGTTTGTTTTGAGGAGTATGAGAATCAGATTTTTACAGCAGTGATATCTTGCTAGAGTCAGAATCAGAAGTCGTTTGTTTATGAGATCAACTACTTTCAGTCTGTGGTCTCTGCTTTGCTTGTTTTTCATGAATTATTCTTACCCAAGGTGTTAGTTTTGGTCAAAGTAACTTTCTTTAGAGTAGGGTTTTGAAGATGTCATTGATTTTGTTTTGGTTTTTTATTTCAATTTGTGGCAAAAGTGAAATTTTCAAAAAGTAATTGTGTGAGGAGAGCATTTGGGACTTTGGAACTAAGCATTTGGAACTAAAAATTCGCTTCCAACAGAAGATATTTGTTGAGGGTCTCTCAGAAATAATTCACAATATTAAAGATGTAATTTATAAATTATTTGTTTTGGAACCCAAAATAAAACATGTAATTTAGTTTGTATCCTTGAAATAGAGATGCTTCTGCAGATACTTTATGCTTTCAATGAAATGGTAGGTTTTTGATTGAAAAGTGTTCAATATTTCAACTAATCCTGCTGATGACTTTTATGTGTTCAACCTTAGTTTTTAATAATGATCTGGATAATGCTATCCTATTGCAGTATTAAGTTGTGCCTTGTGATAGCAATTTCTGCATATAATTTACCTAACCTGATTTATAATTGGCATATTAAATGTTTAAAAGGAAAAACTTTGTTCTTGGACTGAATGCATCATTGCTGGTCACGAGCACAGCTCATGTCGCAGTTGCCTTCTAAATTAAATGTCAGATAGACTGATGTGTTATTTAAACAGAATTACTTTGAAGAGCAAGATGTGTTTAAGACATTAATAATCCGATTTTGTCCTCATGGTTTTGTGGCAGAGAAATTAAGGTCTTTGGATCTTTAGAGTTTTGTGAGTTGATTTTAAAGAAATATAAAGATTCCCCTTAGCTTGTGTGTTGAAAATAAAACCTTATTCTGCAGATAACAAAGGAGAGCTTCCGCGAGGATGGAACTGGGTGGATGTAATTAAGGTAATGTGACTGTATTATATGCAGTATTACAAAAATACTGTGTTTGTACATTAAAAATAATTTGTACTTCTCTCTGAAGAAAACTAATCTTTTTTTTTTCTTGCTTTTCTTCCTAACTGTTTGGATTTGACTGTGGTGTCTGATTAATTTCTATATGCATGCAGCATGTAAGTATTTTCAAGTTATATTTTTTTTACGTTTTATTTGCAAGAAATAGTAAGAACTTTTGCTCATTTTGAATTCTAATTTACGTATTTCTCAAATGCTTTAAAGTGCATGGTCCTTCTAAATATTAGAGTCAGAAGGACTTTGATTCATCTTCGAACTTTGTTGGTTTAGTATTTCTTTTTTATTTATTGAGCAATTAAACTTTAATTTTATGATGAGAGAGCTTTGCTAGCCAAATGCCCTGCAAATATTCTGTCTTTGTATGGCAACAAGATATAAGATAAAGTTAGTGGTGCTGCCAGGTTCTGGAGGACAGTAGATATGTAAACAGAAAAAAGGAGCTGTCCCACATGGGAGCACCTTGCTGTCTCTGACGTGCCTGAGCAGTGAATAATTATTTTCTTCTTGCTCGCTCAGCGTTGATTTCTTTCACTCTCTTGTCTTTGCTGATTCAGTGGAAATCAGTATAACTGCTTGACAAATTGGAAAGCAGACTATTTTATTTTCTATTTTATACTTAAGTAATTCTCAGTGTAAGACCTGACACCGAGGTGTTATGTAGAGACTGCTGCTCTAATTGTTAAATAAGAGCAAGTAAATGATGATGGTGGTTCTGGGCAGAGTCCTTAGGAGTTAAAAGTGGCTAACTGTAGTGCATGTGTTGGGTTCCAAATTCACGATTTGGAAGATTCGCTAGATTTCACGAGAGATGCACTACATTTAAAAATTGCAAACTTAGCTTTAAAAAAGAGAGAAATAGTAAGTTAATGTCTCTTTTTGTATTGTGTAAATTTCTGTATGGGAATTCTCTCAGACATATATGAAGATGCTTTTTCCATTACTTCATCTTTTTTATTTTGAAGAACTGATAATGGAGTCTTCAAATTAAATAGAAACAGTACCCCAAGGTTTTTCTGGGATTTTGTGTTGCTTTTTTAAAACCAACCTTCACGTTCAGGAAGTAAGCTCATTTAGTGTTTAAGCTTAAGAAATAATTTTTTATGCTTTTCAGTCTCTTGATATAGCAGCACAATCAGTCTGTATTATTAATTAAAGATGCATGTGTTCTATGTAAGATGGAGATCATCTTGTTCTTGTTTCCTAATAAATGGAATGTCAGTCTAAACTTTGAATACTTTCTTTTTGTGTCTCTTTTATAGTTAAGCAAAACTGGTTCTAAAGATGATGAATAAAGGACTTTGGTACAAGAAAACTCCACCTTTTAATACAGTGCAATGTTGGGTCTCCATCTTTCTCTTAATAACGCTCATATTTGTTGACGTAAACATTTTATAAAGCTCAGTTTCCTAACTTAGGAAAACCTAGTCACACAAGTTTATCTAGAGACTGTGTGGTCTTCTTTGGAAAAACAACCAACCAAACAACAACAACAACAAACTTGCCTTAAATGAAGGTTAGAATGTGACAAAGGATATAGAGAGCCAATATGGTGCAGTGAATAGTGCTAGGTGCAGTGTTTATTAATTTATATTTTACTTTGTAGTATAATGCTGTTATAGTGAATCCAGTGATAATGTAAACAGTTCCTGATGTTCTTATTCCAATTGAAGAAAAAAGCACTATAACAGTGAGTGGTCACTTGACAGCACAATTCATCAAAATAAATTATTCCATGGAAACAAGACCTTTGTCATTTGTTTATCTAATGTGAATGTGGAAGGAGAACATAAAAATAGTTACATGGCAATACAACCTAGAGCTTACGGTTCTGCTTTCACTAGCTGCTGACTGAAATAGTAAATACTAGCGAAAGCAAGGCCAAATATTCTAGTCTGCTCAAAATGGAGTGGTTACAGCAGGAGTATGTCTTCTTTATTCTCTGCGGTATCCATCTGTTAGTCTTTCTCCAGTGGGTATCTTTACAGAAGGCTGGATATCTGAGGGAAGGGAAAAGAGCTTTCCTGCATGTGTCTTGGTGAGTTTTGGCATTTTGTAGCTCTTTCGTTGGAGAAATGGGCATTCCTTGGAGGGGCTTGCTGACTGAGTGGTGGGAAATTGGGAAGAAGTCAGCATTCTGCCAGATGTGTTGGGAGAACTTTTTTTCCTCTAATCTGCACTTTTGTATCAGAAAGAGAAGTCATCTTTACTATATGAACGATTACTGAATACAGGATGCCTTAATGTTATTTTTGTTGTTTTGAGATGAACTTTAATAAATGCCTATTTATCTGCTGTGATATGTGTTTATTTTTTTTAAATTGTGCACTTCTAGAGCCAAGTTTGAATTTGCAAATTATTTTCTATTACAAAGAAAGCACTCTTAAAAATTGGTGGAAGGATGATATCTTCCCTTTTTTTTGGTATATGTTGACGTATAGTATACATGCTCTATTTATATATATTCTTCAGAGTAGCAGTGTTTGTTACTAAAATGGGGGTCAGTTATCCCACTGAGCACCATAGGAGGAGATCTGTTGCGTTCATTGCACGCAGCAAGTCCAGTGTCTCGTGGAAAGAGTGCGCTCCCCTACACGTACCAGGCACAGCAGCTGGTGAGAGGGGTGTTAGAGGCACAAGCTGGATGCTCTCATTCATCAGTGGTGCTGAGGACCTGTGTCATCGATAGAGGAGAGTTTGCGTGAGCATCAGATTAGGACTTCAGTTGATGGAGTGGCAGCGTTTATGCTACTGTCTGTCAAGAGAGCTTATCTACAACATACGTTCAGATAGATCGCTTAAATTTTCTTAAATTATTTCTGTTTTAACAAAGGAGCATACACTAAATATATTGCAAATTTAGTGCTTATCTTCATATATATAAAGAAAAAAAGATACATGAAATGTGACTGCAGGTGAAAGAAAGAAATGAATTTGTTCTGTGCTTTTCATCCTTCTGAAGTGACTAGAGATCTGAAAGAAGTGTGGTCTGTCCTGCTGTCATCCAAGAAGCAGCTGTAGTTTTCACTGAAACAACCAGTAAATGTATCTGCTTTCTCAATAAGGAAAATACTATTAATTATTAAAGAATGCTTAATTTCAGAAAGCCATGATTTATTTTTGAACTCAACTCGTATTTAGTAAACTCTGGTACAGTACAGAAGGGAGGACTTTTTCCAAATGACACAAAACCGGAGGCTCTTGGCTGCAGTCTGAGCAAGAGTGCCCGGCAGGAGGTGACACTGTGGGGAGAAGTTGCTCTGGTGGCACACGGTGATCCTGCAGCAGGGGAGGGCGTTCAGCTTTCGCCTCTGCCGGCATCAGAACGGACTTGACTTTTCCTATTCACCAGCTCTCCAAGGGGAATTGACTTGTCTTTGCTGGTATCCTTGGGGTATAAATCAAGTTGCCATGACAATTTGGCGGAATAGTTTAGTTAGGAAGCGCGGGGGAAGGACAAATAAAGAACCACGTCCCTTGCTTGCTTGTGTTACTGTGGACAACAGCTAAGTTGTTAACCTTGTGAAATGCCCTAATTTTCCAGCTCCGAGTCTACCTATAAATCACATGGTCTTGTGAAGATACCCAAGCAATCTGCTCTGGTTCTGTTATTAAATGTATGTTTGTTGGGTAGTCTGCTTTCAAGGGAAATATTTTTGCATTAGGAATGTTTGTAGTGGGTCTTTGCTTCTGTCTAAATCTTGAAAGGTAATTTGTGTTGGTAAACCATTTTCTCCTATGAGGTGATGTTTGGAACAGGGTCATTTCAAGAATTCAGGTACTTGGTGTTTTTGAGAGGCCACTGGCAACTGAGGGGAGGGAAAATGCAACAATGTATATCAAGAAAGGCACAGCTATAAAGAAAGATCATGACTACTGAGGGAATTCTAAACACTGTTGAAAAATACACCACCAGCACCTCTTTTTAAGTAAAAACCCATTGGCAGTGGAAAAATGGTGATTTGTGCTGTATTTCAGTAGGGCAAGAGTCTCCTGATTGTAGGGCTACATCACCTATTTAAAGTCATGAGGTTTGCAGTAAGGCTTTGGTTGGCCTGAAAAGACAAGTATCAATGCTAGTAACAGTAAAGTAGCAACTGCCCAAAATACAGGGTGGTTGGAAAGGAATTTGTCAGTTCACAAAATTTTCCATACTGCATGGGGACAAATTGCCTTATTGAAGCACTAATTGAAAGAGCTTTTTAAAAAAACACTTTTTATCTATAGTGCTGTTGCAGTAACCACTTGGAAATCTCATCTGATCAAGCATAGCTTGCTCTTTTCCCTTTTCCAAATATGTCTCTGAGAATCTTTCCTTGGGACAAATTTCATGTAGAAAATTGAGGTAGCAGTACCAATGCCAAATGAATTTTCATTTTTTTAGCTGAAATTTAACTTAAAATGTTTCTCTTCGGTCTTTTAATACATATTTGAATTGATTAACATTCCTAATGCCTTTGAAAGTTATTTAATTTTAAGGTATGCATTTTTTTCTTTCTAAACTTTTCTCAGCAGGCTATCATTTTGTGGTTTGTTTGCTTGCTATTAAGGAGATGAGGAGTCTCTCTCTTCTTTTTTTCCCCCCTCTTCTTTTTTTCCCCCTCTGTCAGTCCATATGGTTCCTGGGAGCACATCACTGGGCAGTGCATGTTCCAGCCTCCACTTACAGGAGCTATTACCATAGGAGGTATGGCATTTCTGCTATAAAATTATTTGATATCTCTGAAACACAGTGGTATCTTCTCAAAAGTTTGTCCAGCTCTTTCTGTTGTTGATGCAGCTATTTGAAGAATAAAAAAATAAAAAAAGGTATGGCAGGTGCACAAGAACTGTCACTGTTGCCTTGGTACTTTATACCTTATTTTGGATGAAATTTTTAAGGAAGTTTTTAGTTGTATTTGAATGATGTTAAATACAAGTTCATTCAGTGCTGTTAGTACCAAGACTAAAGCCAGTATTTCTTCATCTGGGACCTAGGTAGAAGTGGAAATGTATGGAGAATATACTGCTTTCATCTGAGGCAATGCAAGTGGTTTGGGGCTATACTGTGAACTTTGCGCTGTGGAAAGAATTTAAATGGTTTGAACCAGAAACGGTTCCCCTTTGGAAATTGTTTCCTTCAACTATGTTTTGTATGACACGCTAAGCTCTTGTAGTTAATGGCAGAATGAAGTGGGGAGGAAATGTTCATTCACAGAGAAAATACCAGAAGTGTGAGTATTTTGAGTGGAGTGGAGGAGGAAGTGGAGGGGGAAAAACCATCCTCGTAAGCAAAACTAGAAGAGCATAGGGGATAAATCTTCATTGCTGCAGGACAGTACAACAAAACTAAAGCTAAGCTTATGGTTGCAGAGCTATAAATTCTGGCATGAGGCTGGGTTGTGATAAAAGACAAGAGGATGGTAGATTTTTCTGTCACCGTCACCTATTCATTCTTTCACCAACATGGATTTGTCTCCATCGCAGAATGGGGCTGCTCCATGACTGTGAGAAGGGTTTCTGTTTTTCTGACTGCTGCGCTTCCCATGGCTCCCTTTCTGAGCCCATGGAAGCAACCTCTGAAAGTCTGGGGTACTCTCAGAAATAAGTTGTGACAAAACATATTGACGAGGTACTGGAAAATGGTGTTAGAAAGTTTGATGTAGGTATAAGAAGGAATTAACTGTTTCTCTTCTCTCTCCTTCATTCAGAGCAAAGTAAGGAGTGACTCCAAATGGCTAAGACATATCAGAATCTAAGTTCAGACACTGGATTCCTATGTCAGACTGAAAGTTTGTCCATCTAGTTTAAAGTTTTGCATAAGTATCCCTTGCTACTGTGTCTGAGCATTAGTGCTTGTGGTTCCTACAGCAGTTTGTGGTTTAGGTGCTTGTGTTTACAATACGGCAGAAATTTGAAAACTGTGATTGCCTACTGCAAGTTGCTTCTGTTGTGAGGTGGGATAAGATCATGGCAATGAGAGAGACAACCAAACTAAAACTTCACTGCCTTAGTGGAGAGGAATAGGGTTGTGTGGGTGCCTCTGAGAGTATAATTTCTTCTGCAGTATCTTTATTACGGGTAATGATCACTGAAAAGCAAAAGTCAGTCTAGGCTGAGTTTGGAAGATATCACTCAAGAAAAGATAAGTACCTTCCTTCTCAACTATCTGTTATAGTGTCACTGAGAGCCAATAAACATAAGCATAGTCTTGGATGGAGTCACTCTTCAGAGCAGGATCTTACTTTAAATCAAATGTCTCTGTCAGTAATGCACTTTATGTTTTCCTGCAGGAAAAACAAACATGAAGAAAGCATTGTTATCTAAAGAGATGCTATCTCCACCGTAGGGAACCATTTGATCTCTGTTTATAGGGAAAACTACGGTTCAATTGACCTTGAAGAGAGAGATTTTATAATAGTACAGGGAAAATGTAGCAACCCATTGATAAAATGTGATGGCAAGTACATAGCCTGTATTGATGTTTAATAAATTTTCACAGCATTATCAGTTTTATATTTTTCTCTGAAGATGAGCACTAGAATATTACAAGGTTTTAGTTAACTGGCATACAGCATTATGATTTTTTTTTCCCCACATGCCATATGTCTTTAGTGTAGAAATTTATTTCCTAGATTAAAATAGTGTTAAAGATACAAATCCACTCAAAGGAAGGAAATAATTTTTACTCAGAAGTAAGGATGTGCCAAAATTATAGCTGCCTGTGTGATGTTTATATGAAAAAGAAGGCATAGTAAGATTTTCTTTATGTGACTACATGTCTTTTCAGTTTTATTTGTGGTTTTTTTTTCCCTCTGATAGTGTCCAAGCAGATGCTTAATGCTTTGCTTTCTAGTGTTCCTGTTAGTAGGAAGGTGATACAAAAACCTGAGTTTTAGTATGCTGCTAAATCTGAACAGGGAAGGAAGCTTTCCCTTTCATTGATGCTGTATCAATGAACTGAAAGGAAGCAGGGGTCGTCAGTGTCTTATAGGATCAGGAAATGGGGA